ATTTTGTACTGAAAATAAAGAGTGTTAAAAGGGCAGGTAAATTTTAAAACCTACATGAGAAAATGGCAGTCCCGGAAATTTTTCAAATCAGCTTATCATGTTAAGGTGAAGGAACCGATATTTGATACGTGCAGCAGATATATGAAGTTTGGTACTGCCCTAACGTAGAATTCTTTATTTTTTTATTAGCTTTTTTGTTGGTCTTCCAGTGTTGTTATTCTTCTGATCTTCGTACTTTGAGAATTTCATTAGGGGTATTCACGATCTAGTGCATACTTTCTAGCATTTTGCATGTTGTCTCGTGTGTTCAAACAACAACAAAACTAGCCAATCATGCTATCTATGCACCATGCTAGACAGGATGCACCGGATCGTGAATACTTCTATTATTTTGCTTTTACGCTTTCCGGTGTTTTTTCCAATCAACTTTATTGGGCTTGATGTTGTATGTATGTACATATGCAAGGCGAATATATGCAATTCGAGTGTTGTGTTGCGAACAGATTTCCTTTGCAGCTATATGAAAGCAAGTGTGAGTCTGAGTGGACTTACTATATACATATGTACGGAAGTCGGCATACCTTTTATAGTTAATCCTGCGGATGCCTTAGATTACGTCCAAAGATTACTGGCAACGAAATGTTTTTTTATACGCATGTATGTATGAACCACATATCCATACATACATACATATATTGCCCATAGCATACCTCAAACGCTATGTGAGTATTCGCCTTAGGGTAACCACCCTTGACTACAGCTAATGCAGAGATAACCACCCTTGACTATTTCGCGGCCATCACCATAGAAATATAATTAGCTTTCGTCAAAGAAAATATACAGATAATAAGAGACTTTTAGCTCCTTCCTAATCAACTTAAAGTCAGCTTATAGTTAGATGCATTTCCTGCAGGGATTTGTGCTTCTATAGTTATATGTAAGTACATATATGTATGTGTATATTTATGTATGCACATAAACACGTTAACAAACGTTTAACGTGACCCTACTGGCATCTTTTTTAATGTTGTTGTTGTTGTAAACTGCGGCTTGCTAACAACCTCACCCACAATTCATATGTAACTTAAGTTGGCCTACAACCTTTGCGTCCTACTTGCGGTTGACACTTTGCTGCCGTTATCTTTTATTCTCTTTCTCTTTTATTGCTGTTATTATTTAAATTATGTCATTCTCTAATTAGCAAATGTGACAAAGACGCATTAAGTCCAACTAACTAACCAATAATAACTACTAACAAGAGATGCGGGAAACACATTAGAAGAAGACAACTGTAAAAAAAAGAAATTATGATAAAAATGCATCTATGAGAAAAGCTAAAAGTCTTCTTAAGGAACAGTTTTTAGTGCTAATATATTAAGCTTAATTTAAATAAAGTTTAACTTTTTAAATTTAGACTTTGTAAAAATTGCTGACCCGTTTTTCGGTGCGAATTTACTTTGGTTGTCTTGTAGAGCAGCACTGTTTATTGTTTATGCAAATAACGAAACTTTATTTTCACTTTAGATATGAACGCGGGCTGAAATTCTAAAATACTATAGATGGAAATTTTCATCTTTCGTATGAAGTTTTAAAATTTTGGAAGTCACGCTCGATACTTAATTTTTCTGGAAAAATAAGTTCGAAATGGATAAAGGAAAGCACTTAATAGGCTTTGTTCCTGTAAGAATGCAGTTGTTAAAGTTGTAAAACCATATATACACACTAGACCCATACGGCACCTTAACGAGATGGTCCTGATCAACACTACCCTCTGTATGTGCTTTAAGTATACTAGGTTGCGATGAGAATGATAATTAAGCAATTGCCATTTCACATACATACCGATATGTGAAAGAACAGTCAAAAGCAATCATATCGTGGGGGAGGGGGCCCGCAAGCAGCGTGTAAGAAGAATATCGCCACCATCTATTGACATGCATTTGGAATGCGCTGCAGAGTGCTTTAACGCTTAGAATATTTCGGGTAGAGTTGGGATTAAATAGTGATATCCCTAATAGAAAGTTGTTAGCAAAAAAGAAAACCGACTTCAATTCTCATATAAAAAAAAAATATATATATATATATATATATATATATGCGGTAACATGTATAAAAGATTTAAAAAATAATAAAAATAAAAATAAAATCCGATGAGCTGATAACCTCCTCCTTTTTTAGAAGTCGGTTAAAAATTACTTTACGAATGTTTCGAACGTATACAAGTTGACGCCTCATCTAAGTACGCAGCATCCCCGCTATTCCTAATTTATTTTCCTTTTCGGCACACATTCTGCATGATACTCTCAAATAATGTTCACCAACCATTCATTTCTGATTTAATGGGCCATTCCGCAAATTTTCTGCTACCTTTGCAATTTCTGCCCTTCGAGTTAATTTTGCAAAACAATAATATTTAGCATGTGAAGAATCAATAATCTAATATTTTTATATTATATATTATTATATATTGCTGCTATTGTTTAATACAACATCTTTTTTCTCATCGCTCATACATACTTCTCCACGAATTTTCCCTTACAATGTGCTTTATTACCCGAACATGTGGATAATGAAATTTTTATTTTTCTTTCTGCGCAAAGGAAAACATATGCCATTGTCTAAGTGTCGCATATCTAGTTACATACATATATAGGACGGGCATTAACAGAGATTTGTAGAGCGTAATTTTTGTCCGTCGAAAGAGGACCCTGTTTTTCAATTGCCTGCCGAGCACATAGTATATATTATAGCCGTATAAATAAATCAGACAAACGATGTTACATTTTTTTGACTCTTCTATGCAGAGTTCCAAGCGTCTCCAATTTCACAAAAAATTTAGGAAAATGCATTGTTTAACAGCACGACAGAGTCGAATGGTAAAAGCACACATATCTGCATACGAGGGGAGGCTGGAAATTTTTGAGCCTAAGTAACTATACGTGGCATTAATGTCTTGTCCTGCGTGCTACTAATTGCTAATATCCTTAGTACTAAAAATACCGAATTTCATGTCATTAACATTATAAGGCTTTCAAAAATTGAGCCGTGAACATCGCCATGTGGGAGTCATATGCGCACTGTACGACTTTGGAGTGCGGAGCTGTCATCAAATGGCTCACAAAGAAAAACAAAACGCCAACGGAACATTCATTTTCCAACACTAACAACAGCGAGTCGCTGGAAGATGATACCAGGTCAGGACGTCCAAATACTGCCGTTACCACGGTTTTTTGTTATTGTGAAGGTATTCTGTTCATCAAATATCTTCCTAAAAACTGCAATGAACGGATACTTTTTTGCCACATTGTTAACAAAATTGTATCAAGTGATTGTCGAAAAACGAAGAGGGCAAATGAGTCCTGTTCTTCCAAGATAATGCACCCGGGCACAATGCGCAAGCTGCAGGGCGTTCCCTGGCTGCCGTCCATGCATTCCAGACCTGGCGCCCAGCGATTACTTACGGTTAAACAAAATCTCCGAGGACGAACATTTTCGAGTGAGGATTGAAGGCGGCAGTAGACGAGCTTTTCGAAGACAAATATGGTGAATATTTTGTCATTGGGTTAAAAGCCATTTATGCTAAGTGTAAGAAATGCATTGAAGTAGAGGGAGATTGTATAGAAAAATGAAATTTGTATGCCTACGTTTCTATATTTCTATCAGCTTTCGTATCTAGTAAACGCTGTTAGCAACCACCAAACACCGCAAAGTATTAACCCAATCGGTGCGCCAATGAACACAGCAGTGCCAAAGAAAATTAAGGAATTAAAATAATTGGTATGAGTGAGTATTTACATACATACATACACTCATACAGTGACTCAAAAAATTACCACATGTTGATTCTTTTTAAATATTCGCAATGTTTTCCAAGTTAAACTTTTTTTGTTATTTTTCTATAAAAAAGCCGTCCAAGCTTTTAACCAAAACCATATTAATCACAGTACCAAAATTTCAAAAAATTTTCCTCAAAATTTCAACTTTAGTCTTGAGTCTTTAGAACATTTTTGGATATGCAGTTTTATAGCCCATACAATTTCAGTCTAATGAAGTGCAATTTTCAACCGGTTACGAAATCGCGTTAATTTTTGAGAATTTTTTTGGAGACACAAAAACTGGGATTGATTTTTTTGAAATTTTGTAGCGAACGGTCTTTCGCGCTTATATGAAAAAACTGCAAGAACTGTGATTTACATACATACATATATGGGTTTGGTTAAAGCTCGGACAATATTTTACCGAAAAATAACAACAAAAAATTTAAGTTCAAAATATTACGAATATTTAAATAAATCGAAACGTGGTCATTTGTTTGAGTCACTGTGCAAATGTATTTACATGCCTAAGTGGGGGAAGAGAAAGTACAGGCATCACTGATTGCTTTCAATTATGCAATGAATAATCACGTAATCAAAGGAAGATCAGAGCTGAGATGGTGGTACGAGTATAAATGCATGTACAGGGGCTTGCGCGAAATTGACAGATGAGCAAGTGGGGGGAGGAAGTATCTGCATGGAAATGTAATTAAAAAGTTGTTAACTTAAAACGTTTACACAACTGACGACTGAGCCATTGGAGGCAGCTGAGTGGAGCATTGGAGCTGTGGAATAGTGGGACAGCAACAAAGGTGGAGTACAACAAAATGTATGTATGTATTTATGTAAATACGAGTTGACCACTTACCTGGTTAAATATTGAATTCCAAGCGCGTAGTTGAGCTGTCACACTGATAGTGGTATGTACATAGTATTGTAAAGCAGAGCCAATTTGTTGCAAGGAAAGTTTATAAACAATGAAGAGTAGAAACTAAGTAGACGCAGAACGACAATAAATTCCACATAAAAGATTTTAGCGAATTGTGGCAGCGAAACTCGCGATTGGATTGGTTGTTGTTGATGGAAACTAGCTTAGTGATTTTTGTGTGGTAGCTATGCCTTCGTAGCGTAAGAGTCACGTTATTAGCGGAGACAGGGCAATATATTGTATTTTTTTTTTTTTTTTATCAGAAAGTGCCGATGCACGTGCGTCGCAGGGACGCAACGATGCAAAACGGATTTATTAAACACTTGCTGCTGTAATTATTTTTAAACACTGATTTCACTTCACTTTTACCGCTGCACAGTCGAATTGTTGCTAATAAAGCAAAAGTGACTAATACAAAATCGATATCGCGTTGTATCGCAGAAATCACAATAAGACGGACAGCAAAGAGTAGACGGAAACTATAGCTGATAGCACGTATAAATTTATTTGTATCTCTCTTCCTTCCGTAATTGTTAAGCAGAGAACTCGTTTTTTCTTTGCAAATTTTCAAGATTTTTTTTTTAATTTTTTTGTTAATAAATGTCACACTTTTCGCCGTTGCACGTTATTGATTTTGAGTTGAATTGAGTGCAGTTGGCGCAAAAAAAAAAAAGCACGCACGTTCACGAATCACGCACATCTGTTTGTATATATGTATATGTTAATAAGCGAAGTCACGCGGGATGACAGAGAAATGGCGTTAAAATACGACACGCGCAAAGCAGCAGCGAATAGAATTCAAAAAAAAAATAAAAAATATGTACACAAAAAAATAAACAACAAAACGACACTCGAAACAAAGACGGAAAGCTTTGGAATTTACTGCTTCAACTAACTTCCGCTTTATTTACTTAATGTCTGCAAGCTTACTTACATATATATTTATCGCGGGCGTTTGTTATTTTTTGCTGTTATTGAGCTACTGTTCTGCAAAAGGCCTTCGCTAAACGCTTTTGCTTACTGCAACTTTTTCTTATTTTGGTTTTTGTTTTTGGTTTTCCGCTTTCATTTGCTTTATTGCTTTAAACGATTGACAAATGACAAAAGTTTGCTGCCAAGAGAATTTTTACTTATTTTTGTTTGTTTATTTACTTTTCCAAACTTTTGTCTTTGAACGCGTCGAATTTATTTTAATTTTATTTCTATTTTTTTCAAGCTCCTTAACAAGTGTTCGATTTCAATTCATCGAGACTCGATTACTTAATTTTTTTTTTCAAACAAAAGTTTGTTTTCCGGCAACGGCAGTCTGTTTCTTGTTTTACTTTCTTAGGCAGGTGTTGGTGTTGCGAATCTGTAAATAAAAATAAAAATAAATTATTTTTGTACATACAAATTTATTTCAAGCTTACAGCTATTTAAATAAGCTGAGTTCAGATATGAGAGGTGTGGCAAGGAAATTGTATATGATATAAAGGAGGGTGTAAATATTTACGGAAATCCACAAAAAAATAAACATGTGCGATCTTATATGCCAGACATATTTTTTTTTGTGTTTAAATAAGGTCTGGTGCAATGACACTTAAACGTTCTTAAAATAAATAAAGTTGGGTGCAAAATAAAATTGCCTGCTCTTGATGACCGCAATTAAGCACAGGTCACTGCTTCATTTGGATCCGAACTACTCAGCCTTCCGTAAAATATTCTGTTTATATAAAACAGTCAAAAAATGCTATGGAGGGGCCAAGTTGACATCTATTTCACTTGTCTTGTAAAGCAGCGCGAACTCAGTGTTGGATTTGTCATGTATGTAAGAGAGGCTTAGTCGTCGACTACAGCCGTTAACACTCCGGCGGGGCGAGAAGTAGGTGGCGTTCAAAGGTATCCTCTATGATCCCGATTTCAATGCCAGAGGTGAGTGGGAAAGAGATCTTTGGTGCCATTCTCGGAAGGGTCTGCCAACGCGAACTCTTAGCCACTTGCAACTTGCACTTTATCATACTCAAATTTAATGATCTATAAAACTGCATATCCAAAATTAAGAAAAAAAAGAAAAAAGTACTTGGTGAAAATTTTCTAAAAACATTTCAAATAATTGTTTTTAAATTTATTCGTTTTGGGAGAACCCTACAATTGATTTCAACTAGTTTTTATCATGGTTTTTATTACGTAACATTTATTAACTGGAAAAGAAGAATCGATCTTCTTCAAAATTGCTACTTTTTCTGCACATTGCACAAAATAAATTTATATAAGTAAACAAATAAAAAATCAAAAATCGCGCCCAACTAGTCGCTTGAAAGTTTTATAAGCTTTCGTTAAAAAATAATAATAATAATCAAATTGGTTAAAAAATGAAGGCTCGAGTGAATTATGAACATTAATTTACATTTATTAACCACCGTGCGGCGTCAGACTGTATTCATTTTTATCATGACCTCAATAGCTTTAATTCATGGTGTAATATCCATTACTTGTTCCTGAATAAGAGCAAATTCTTGTTATTGTTTCAAAAACCAACTTTAATGGTGTTATCTCCTTCGGCTATAACTTAAACTGGAGCTCTAGAAGCTGTTCGAATAAGATAAAATATTTCGGAGTTATTTTTTACTCTAAACTTACTTTCTCAAAACACTTCGATTTCATTATCGGGAAGGCGTTTTCTACAATTGGATTCAATAAAAGTGGATTTAAGTATCCCCTGACAGTAAAAAAGCTGTACTTTTGGTAAGTGAAGAATCGCCTTGAGTATTGTTCTTTTTAATGGAATCCATATTATGAGCCCAGCCCAATTCGGACACAATTTTGCTTTTGCACATCTCAATTTTTATACCCGAGCGCACTTGTGCACAAGGGTATATTAATTTTGTTCACATAACGGTTGTTTGTAATAGCCAAAACGAATCGAGATAGATATAGACAAATGTATCATAAATGATCAGGATGAAAAAAGAAATCGATTAAGCGATGTCTGTCTGTCCGTCCGTCTGTCTGTCCGTCCGCGTACACGATAACTCGAGCAAAAATTGAGATATCTCAACGAAATTTGGTATGTAGGTTTCCCTTAATCCAGGGTAGGTTGGTATTGGGCGAAATCGGACTTTAACCACGCCCACTTCCCATATAACGGTAATTTCCAGAAATACGAAAACTGCGATATTTTAGTAACTACTGAAGATAATTCACTCAAAATTGATATTTACAATAATTTTTAGACGAAAAATAAGAATATTATAAATTTTTGGAAAATGGGCGTAGCCACGCCCACTTATGGTTACATGTGTATATCTTGGTAACCGCTGCACCAATTTCTTCCAAACTTGGCACAGTTGTTCGTCCTGGTCCAGATACCAAAATCGGACAATAACCACGTCCACATCCCATATAACGGTAATTTCGAGAAATAC